CACAAAGCGGAAAGAATCAAGATGGTACAGTCTTATAAATGAAATCGTCTAACATCTCTTAATTTCTAAGAATGCCAAAACTGTAGAAGTTTCTTGAAGAGCAATTAGAAGGCTGCTGCACTGAGAGTGCCAATAAAACACATGGGAAAGTCTACTGCAGAGAATTGCAAGTATCTTTATTCTTAGACAGTTTCGGTACCAGTACCATTTATTTCATCCTTCTTCAAATAAAAAAATAAAGAGATGTCCTCCTGAACGTTCTTTATGATTTATCAATGTCAATACAAAAATAGTTCAAAGAAATTGATAACCTGCTAACAAATATGAATGTAAGAATGGTGGTGTCCTGAAAGTCACGAGCAGGGCATAGAACAAAAGCGCTGTGAGCAAGGCCTGCAGTGACATTATGGTTTAGGAGCATTAAAGGATTACTGCATTTGCAGAGAAAGCAGTATTGTTTAAAAACCTTTATTTAAAAAGTGGTCCAAGTGGGTCCCATAGTAAAGGGAAGAGGGACTGCCTCTGACATAATCTGATTGGCCTGCTCTTTGATCACCTCCCCCTAAGGGGGGAGCAGCCTTACCAGGCCACAGAAGATGACAATGCAGACACTCCTGATGTGATCTGATAGACTACGATCAGAAGGAAGGAGAGGAGGACCTCCCCTATCAGTGGACTTGGGGAGGAGCATATGTGAAGAAGGGGGAGGGAGAGTGGCATTGGGAGGGGAGGAGGGAGGGGCTTATGGGGGGATACAAAGTGAATAAAGTGTAATTAATAAAATAAAATTTAAAAAAGTGGTTTCGAATGAAGTCTCTCTAATGAAGTACTCACAAACACAGATTTATGAAATATACTACATTTCCAGGGGTAGTGATTATACACTGAGTCTTAAAGCACTTTCATTAGACAGGTTGGAAGATTCTCAGCTTTTCAACAGTGTGAGCCTAGATGTAAGACATGAGCACCAAGTCCCTTAGGTGCATGCACAACTGTGACAGAAGCCTAGTCCCAGGAGTCCCTGCCAAGCGTCTCAAGTTCTTTCAGCCATGTGTATGCTGTGCCTCCTCTGCTCTGAGCTCTGAGGCTGAGGCCAAGAAGAAGGCTAAGTTTCCCACCTATTGAAGCTTTCATGTTTGTGGAGATCCGACAAATACTCAGTATTTTACAATATATCTGTTACTACCCAGTAGTGATGATGGATGGGCCCACATAGTCATGACACTAATGCTGGGTTGGGAATGTCTATTCTTCAAGTTTCAGGAGAAGAAAAGGCCAAAATAGACAAGTCTTGAGATTTAATTATTTTATGAGCCCTCTTCTGCATTTCTAGTCCCCCATAGTTTCTATACAAATGAAATTGTATTTTATAGAAAGATCCTATTTTTATTCTTTCTCTCCCTTTTTCATCTTCAAATACAAATTCAAGCCAGTGGATCATCTTCTACAGGAAAAAAAAAAGAACATGAAAAAGAGCAGAATTTAACCCTACTCATTAAATGTCTGGTCTGTTACTACCTTACTTCCTCTCAGTGAGCTTCAGTTCAGTCCTTCATAGAACTGAACCTCCTGGCGTCAGGCTACGACAGAGAGCAGTGAAAATGGATGGAAGCACAGTCCTGGCATTCAGAGTCTGAAAGAAATCGGGGAAGTCTGCTGCACACAGCAAACACTTCCTCAGAGGTTAGCTACTGTTGGTGCTCAATGTCTAGCTGCTGCTTATCACTAAATGGTAATGAATACAAATATTTATCGGTCAATTGTCCTTATTTGCTAGATATTACCAACATTATAGATCAAAATTACTTTAAGAACATACTTCAGAGTGTAAGATGATGAAAATGAGGTATTATCTTTATATAATCTGAACAGAATTTTTTATTACAAAGTCCTCTGCATTCACACTGGCCATTTTACTTAAAGCTTCAGTCTGGATGGCTTAATTTTTCTCAGCATTACAGTGAAGACCTAAAAAAGCTATTAATTGGAATATTAAAGCACAGTTTTAAACTTGCCATAGGGGCCTAGACAAGAGGTTTCACTGAGGGCATGACCACCTGGAAAATCACATGGCATAAAAAGTAAATAGAAGTTAAAGTAGATGGTACTTGATGAAGTACTTAAAGCTTTTGAAGAAGCGACGAAGAAAGCATCCTAAGTGACCATTTCTGTAAATAAAACATTTCAACTCCTTACAGTAGTGAAATGAGCCCCTGTTGTTCCCTCGCCCTCGAGGGGCTTCACAGGGATGGGATGAGGTTGCCAGGCCCTGCCTGCTTCCTCTGCGCACTCTATGTTCATTTCCCCATTCATTCCAGTTACAGGCCTGGGAAACTGCTACATCCCACTTTGTAAAGAGAAACTGAGGCACAAAGCATTCCTAAATCAAAATATACCTGTATTCTCATTTTTTTTTTCTAGCACTAAACACAAATGTGAAGATATGGGATCAACCCTGGATTCTGTGGCATATGAATGGACTAACAGTGTAGCACATATCATGACGTAATATTATTAAACAATAAAAAGTAATAGGCTGTCAATAATAATATCATCCACAGGAAGGGTTAATGTCCTGGCATTACAGGTAAACTTGGAGGGCGTTATGTTCAGTGAAGTACATTGACCATAACAGATAACATAACAGGGCAAACGCTTGCATGCATGTGTGGAAATTAAGTGAGATGCTTTCAGTGCAGAGAGAATATGGATTGCCAGATCTGGGAAGTTAGGTGGAGTGGGCGCCACAGTTGTGCAGACAGGACAGTGCATGTGGCTTCTACCGGTTTGTTATGTGTCTCCAAATCACTAGGAGAAAGGATTCTGAATGTTCCCAACTCTAACAGTACTATCTGAGGTGACGACATGGTCCACATTGAGCATGACTTACTGCTTCGTATTGCATATGTGCATGAAAATATTGTACTCTGTAAGAATACAGTTACTATGTGCCAATTACAAATTTTTAAAATGCTGAATACCTTAAACTATGTAACTGTAAGTGAACACATACATTATCCTGTAAAAAGTTGAAAAGTTCATTTTTCATATTATTTGGTTATTGAACGGAAAAATGTATCTGTGAATTTGTCTACAGCATAGCAAAAACTATGATCTACACAGATGTATAATGAATATCTTCTAAGCAGAATAAAGCATAGGTGTCCACAGTTTTATTATTATCGCTTAACACAGGCTGTTTAACTCCTCAGTGTCAAACTGACCACTTTGGCTTTGCAGTCAGCTACTTTGAAACTTAAATTTGTTCTACTATCTACTAGATGTTGATCTGGAGAGAATTACCTGCTATGGTTTTGTTTTTCAACTTTAAAATGGAGATACTGCCACTTGTTTGACAGTCCCATTAGAGAACAGAATGAGTGGACAGGGTCTGGAACATGGGGAGTTCACTGAAATGGAGGCTGCCATCATCATCACCACCATTGTCATCATCAATTTTATTGTCGTCCTCATTTTCTAACTACCCACATATGACTAAGCTACAATGTAACCTACAGATACTGTCAGAAAACTTACCCGAGCATTTGGGTGTGATAACATCTACAGCCATTGGAAGAGTTAAACTACAAGCCCTTGCATTTCTTTCTTGCTATTCCTATCTATCAGAGCCACAGAGAATTAAGGCTTTCATCCCTTCCCAAATAGTATTCCTTTAGTAAATTCCCTCCTAAATAAAATCTAGTTTGGGGAACTCTTTGTTTGTGAATTTTGACAAGGACTAAGCCTTGTGAGAGCAAATCAATATAGCCAAATAAAGGATTACTTCACACTCACTAAAAAAGTCTCAAATCATATTGCATTCGTGTCTATAATAAATTTGTAAGTATTGATAATCAAATTTAAAACACACATTTAATTTTGTCCTAAATAATGATAAAGCTTAGAAAAGAAAATAAAAAATGCTTTCTGCCTAGTTATATAATTATATTAAGATAAAACCGAAAGTCATGACCATTTTTCTTTGCAGAGCATAACCCGAGCTCTGGTAACAGATTAAACTGGGATGTAGAACATGTAAGAGTTAACACAAATCATATGAACTAACATGTATTTTTTACAAATTCTACATGGTCATAAACTAAGGAAAGAACAGATTATTGTAAAGTTCTAAATATTAATAGTGGGTTTTCTTAAATTTTCTCTTAAATATATTGGACAATGTAAAGAGCTGTTAAATAATCTTTTATAAAATCAGGCTTCCTATAATTTACATAATACTGATGATTGTTTTTAAAATGAAGGCTTTGAACACTAAAGAAAAAAAAATAAAGCATTTGCTCAATTTTGACTTTTGACTTTTCCAGCTTAAAAATGTAATTGAAATTTAAGGAATTATGATCACAGGAATGCAGTCATACTAGAACAGGATAGCTACAACATCTGAAAATGAATGATTCTGAAAATAAGTTCCTGAATTAAGGTTAAAGCTATCCAAGGTTTCATGAACTGATGTTTTGAGCTTTAAAGTGAAATGGCCCAGTTTGCACACTGTAGTACGGTGCTCAGTAAAACCTAACATTAAAAGGTAAAGGACTCTTTAATGCAAATACAGTCAGACTCCAAGTCTTTCTGGAATGAAAATGTAGATATTTTTTGGAATTAACAGGAAGACTTTTCAAATATCTTTCTTGAAAATTTTTATGTAAAGTGACTTATTTTAAAACAACAAAAGCAACAAATAGAGATTGGCTTGAAAAGATAACAACCTGTTTTACCAGCTTTCACCGGTAGCAAAGTGGTTCTTTTAATATTGCACTTTGACATAAACACATACTCTTCTTTGTAAAATGCTTTTCTGCCTTATTTTAATGGGCTGGTTCTGGTTTTAAAGAAACACGTTTTTATGCTACATGATAGAAAACATTTATTTGCATCTCATCTAAATTATTCACAATACTCCAAGGCTTTCGTTCTCTTCCAGTTAGTACAATTTCTTCTCTATACATTTCAGTAGCAAACAATGTTATTTAGACTCTAACCTGGCATGCCACAACCTCTGGCCCACCCTTGAGCCCCTCCACTGCAAAGGTCTCCAGGTGCAGTTTGGGGAGCTGCAGGGTGAAGTCATTCCTACTTGCTGCAGTCCGTGACAGCGAGATCTGATCTCTGACCTAAAGGGAAAAAAAAAAAAAACCCAGCATCAATGGTAATTCCCCTTCAGACACATTAACTGGGATGAACTGGGTCCCCTTGAGCCCACTGAGTGGACTTGCATTGATCGCTGGACCTGAAATCCATGAATAAATTTAGGACTAATTGATTTTTCGTTGCAAATAAATCTCTAATTCAGAGTGCTGGGGGAGAATGTTAAGAAGAAAAAGCATCCTCCTGCTTGAAATGAAGAGGGGAGAAGAGGCGCAGGAGCCTTCTGATCAAGACGGTTTGAATTATTCCTTCACAGTTCCTCTCAGAAAAGAAAGGAGGGGGGTCACAAAATCAAAAGCAAGCTGCAATCCCCCATTATCACTTCCTTAAAAGCATGCTTAACTGATATTAGATCCTGTTTGTTGAGCACAGTAGTTACTAGGAAGTGGTTTTTTAAAAGAAACTTCACCAATACATACTCTGGAATAAGAACAAATACACTCTACACAAAAGGATACTTAAAAATACACAAGGAAGAAATTTGTTTAGCCCTCTCAGACTTCTAAAACTGTAAGACTTAATTAAACTTAAGTTTCAGCAATAAATAAATACATGGAAACTGGCTTGCTTACAAAAACCCTAAATAAGACAGCGAAAATAAAATTAGTAGTATTTGTACTACAGTTTAAGTGTTCTGAAAGGTAAGCACACAAGCCTGTCCAGATGGACTTCAAAGTCAGAACTACTGTGGGCGGTTGATATCGCACTGCCACCTGCTGGACAAATCTGCACATGCACAACAAATACAAAGAAACTCCAATACTAGCCTTATGAATTCCACACTCTAGTTTGCATTTAAGGCAAAGTTCTCACTTTTAGTCAGTCAGCTGAGTAAGAAGAGTTTTCACTATACAAAAATTTTCTAACTTTCCATATGCTTGGGTAGGTCTTTAAATCTTTTATTTTTAATTTGCTATCATATATTTATCAAACACTATAAAACTACCTTATACAGTTTGGGGACTTGGTTCAGAAGAGCTTATCATGCAAGCGTAAGGACCTGAGTTTGGTCCTTTGGTCCCAGAACCTATGTGAAAACCAGGCACATGCTTGGGGTAGGAACAGGTGGAGTCCTGGGGTTCTCCTGCCACCCATTTCAAGCAATCCAGAGCTGCAGGTTCAGTGAGAGATCCTAACCCCCCAAATGAGGGAAAGAGCACGGAGGGACACTGATGGAAACCTCTGGCTTCCATACCACCATGCGCGCACACACACACACACACACACACACACACACACACACACACACACAC